TCCAGAACCCTCTCGAACGTTTTGAGAACAAAGGAAATTAAGCCAATAGGTCGAAAATCTTTGGCGTAGACTTGCCCTCGCCTTCCAGGTTTTGGGATGAAAACTATTTTTACTCGCCACCACGACAGAGGGACGTAGTTAATACTGGTGACACTTGCGACACTGGTACACTGGTGACACTGGCGACACTGGTGAAACTGGTGACACTGGTGAAACTGGTGACACTGGTGAAACTGGTGACACTGGTGAAACTGGTGACACTGGCGACACTGGTACACTGGTGACACTGGCGACACTGGTAACACTGGCGACACTGGCGACACTGGTACACTGGTGACACTGGTACACTGGCGACACTGGTACACTAGTGAAACTCGTGACACTGGGGACACTGGTACACTGGCGACACTGGTGAAACTGGGGACACTGGTGAAACTGGCGACACTGGTGAAACTGGGGACACTGGTGAAACTGGCGACACTGGTGAAACTGGGGACACTGGTGAAACTGGCGACACTGGTGAAACTGGGGACACTGGTGAAACTGGCGACACTGGTGAAACTGGGGACACTGGTGAAACTGGCGACACTGGTGAAACTGGGGACACTGGTGAAACTGGCGACACTGGTGAAACTGGGGACACTGGTGAAACTGGCGACACTGGTGAAACTGGGGACACTGGTGAAACTGGCGACACTGGTGAAACTGGTGACACTGGCGACACTGGTACACTAGTGAAACTCGTGACACTGGGGACACTGGTACACTGGCGACACTGGTGAAACTGGTGACACTTGCGACACTGGTACACTGGTTACATTGGCGACACTGGTGGCACTGGTGACACTGGTGAAACTGGTGACACTGGTGAAACTGGTGACACTGGCGACACTGGTACACTGGTGACACTGGCGACACTGGTGGCACTGGTGACATTGGCGAGACTGGTACACTGGCGACACTGGTGAAACTGGAGACACTGGTACACTGGCGACACTGGTGAAACTGGTGACACTGGTGACACTGCTGAAACTGGTGACACTGGTACACTGGGGAAACAGGTGACCCTGGGGACACTGGTACACTGGTGACACTGGCGACAATGGTGACACTGGTGACACTGGTGACACAGGTGACAATGGCGACACTGGTACACTGGCGACACTGGTGACACTGGTGACACTGGCGACACTGGCGACACTAGTACACTGGTGACACTGGCGACACTGGTACACTGGCGACACTGGTGAAACAGGTGACACTGGTGAAACTGGCGACACTGGTGAAACTGGTGACACTGGTGAAACTGGTGACACTGGTATACTGGTGACACTGGCGACACTTGCGACACTGGTACACTGGCGACACTGGTACACTGGTGAAAATCGTGAAATTGGTGACACTGGTACACTAGCGGCACTGGTGACACTAGTGGCACTGGTGACACTAGTGAAACTGGTGACACTGGTGACACTGGTAAACTGGTGACACTGGCGACACTGGTGACACCAGCCACACTGGTACACTGGTGACACTGGCGATACTGGTACACTGGTGGCACTGGTGACACCAGCGACACTGGTACACTGGTGAAACTAGTGACACTGGTGAAACAGGTGACACCGGTAAACTGGTGACACTGGCCAGTGTACACTGGTACACTGGTGTCACTGGCAGAGCTGAAGACACCCGACACTGGTACACTGGTGACACTGGCGACACTGGTGACACTGGCGACACTGTTACACTGGTGACACAGGTGGCACTGGTGACACTGGCGACACTGGTGAAACTGGTGACACTGGTGAAACTGGTGACACTGGTACACTGGCGACACTGGCGACACTGGTACACTGGTGACACTGGCAACACTGGTACACAGGCGACACTGGCGAAACTGGTGACACTGGAGACACTGGTGACACAGGTGACACTGGTGACACTGGTGACACTGGCGACACTGGTACACTGGTGACACTGGCAACACTGGTACACAGGCGACACTGGCGAAACTGGTGACACTGGAGACACTGGTGACACAGGTGACACTGGTGACACTGGTGACACTGGCGACACTGGTACACTGGTGACACTGGCAACACTGGTACACAGGCGACACTGGCGAAACTGGTGACACTGGAGACACTGGTGACACAGGTGACACTGGTGACGCTGGCGACACTGTCGACACTGGCGACACTGGTACAGTGGTGACACTGGTGACACTGGCGACACTGGTACACTGGTGACACTGGCGACACTGGTACACTGGCGACACTGGTGAAACCAGTGACACTGGTGAAACTGGTGACACTGGCGACACTTGCGATACTGGTACACTGGTGACACTGGTGGCACTGGTGACACTGGCGACGCTGGTGAAACTGGTGACACTGGCGACACTGGTACACTGGTGACACTGGCGAAGCCGAAGACTCCCGATACTGGTACACTGGTGACACTGGCGTCACTGGTGGCACTGGTACACTGGTGACACTGGTACACTGGTGACACTGGTACACTGGTGACACTGGCAAAGTGCGAATAGACACTCCCGGATTAATATCACAACACTGAGGATTTGGCAAAAGCCTTTTTCATCTATTAAAAAAGAACACTTACGGGGCAATGTTTATTGTACGAACAAAATTTTTTCTATGAATCGACATACTTTAAGCATTGTTGACGCTATTTCCATTTGAATGAGGAAATAGCGTCAATGACTTTATTTGCAAATTTTTGTTGACTTTATTTCGCTTTTGAAAAGGTAATAATGTCAGTTGACTTTATTTCGCACCAGAGTGGGAAATAAAGTCAATTGACCTTATTTCCATTGACCTTATTACCTGTCACCGGTACGAACTTGGTGTTCCAGGAAGTTTCCCTGGTTTCGGAAGCAGAACTAATTTTTGTATTTTCCAGATACTCGGGAACACGCCTTGTTCAAGTCACATCTGGAACACTTAAGTAAATGAATGTGGATTTTCCGATACTGCCATTTTCAGTGCCTTGTTCGGAATGCCGTCCGGGCCTGGAGATTTGCTGTCTCCAAGCTTCATTGCTGCAACCACGACTTCTTCCGGCGTAACCTTCTCAACATCGCAAATGTTTGATGGTTTTCTCGGCTTCTCCACTGTTTTGCGGTGAGGAAACAGATTCCGAACAATTTTATTGAGAAGAACAGGGCATTTTTCCTGTGGAGTTGTTGTAATTTTTGACAGTACCGCCTTATAGGCGCTGCCCCATGGTTTTTCGTCGGCTTTGTCGCATAACTTTTGGAAGGAGGCTTGTTTGCTTTTTCGAATTGCATTTTTGAGTCGTTTGCGAAGGTTTTTATACTCAGCTTGCCTCCTATCGGCACCGGGATACCTCCGTAGCCTTTGGCTTCGGCGCCTTTCTTTCAGGCATTTGGCCCTTAGATCGCGTATGTTGTCGTTCCACCAATGTACTTGTTTGCGGCATGTTCCGCCAATTCTCCATGACATAGCTGCGTTTCAAGCTGTACAGAGGTGTGCCCTGAGGTTAGTGGCCGCTTCTGTTGCAGAGTTCTCCTCTCTGGGCTGGTTCACGGCTTCCGTCATGACCAAATTAAAAAGATTTATATCAAGTGTCGCTTGTTTCCAACTGGGTGGGTGTTTGCCGCTCCTTTTAGAATTCGCGCCCCTGTTTCCGTTTTCCTCTACTAACCCCATAATAATTGCCTGGTGGTCGCAGTGTGTGTAGTGTTCGCTGACTTTCCATTTAACACGCCTAGTCAGTGAGCTACTCGTGAACGTAAGGTCGACGATAGACTCCTAACTGTTCCGGCGGAAAGTGCTGATTCCTCCACAATTAGCCAGCGCTAAATCTAGCGAGGCAAAGGTTTGAAGTAGAGCTGTCCCCCTGGTGTTTGTTTTGCGGCTAACCCACTCCGGCGCCCATGCATTTAAATCGCCTGCCACAATTATCGGGTGCCGGTCTATTGCCGTTTCCACTATCTTATTCAGGAGCTCTTGGTATTCTTGGTGAGTCCAGCTAGGAGGTGCATAGCAGCTACATATGTGGTATCCTTTGATTAGAACCCACACAAAGCCCTTACCGGCATCGGCTGGATCTGCCTTCTGGAATGGGTGCGTACCGCACGCCCATACTCCCACTCGGCGCGTCAAATCCGTAGCCCAGGTACTTCCCGTGGAACTTTTGTATAATTTTGAAATTATAGCTGCGTCTGCTTTCATTTCCAGCACTGACTGTTTAAGCAAGTCCTGGGCTGCCTCGCAATGATTCAGGTTGATCTGGATAAATCTCATCTTGATGCTGTAGTAACCGCTTTCTGTAGGCCGCTTCGTTTGTCTGTTGGCACAATGAGCACTTTGGTGTTTTGGAGCAATCCTTGGCGGCGTGACCTTCCAAACACCTTCTGCATAGCTTTGATCTATCCTCGTTCTTACACTCTTTGCCATATGGTCATTGTATGTATAGATATGTATGTATGTTTTACCGAGCTACTACAAACCATGATGCTGATGGTGTTGAAAACGGAAGCATAGAAATATATTGTTGATTAAAATAATCCCCTATATTAACGTTATGTTTGTAGATAGTCACTAAATTACTACACACACACACATACACACTTACACACAAACATACACAAACGTTTGTATGTACATATACAAACCTATACATATAATGACGAATTTTCATTATATATACATGTGATATTGTATGTCTAAAAATATATAGATATGACCCACCACACATACATATGTGGATTTATATGTATGTATATCGCATAAAACGATTTAAAACATTTAGGTATGTTTAAATCAGAAAATTTTTTAGTTGACCATTGACCTCGGAATTTACGATAGGGATATTTGCTTTTATATATAAATTTTTTTTTAGTTGAACTTTGACCTTGGAATTCAAGGTCGAGAAACTGTTTTTGAAGAATCTGAATAATTTTCCCGTATTCATCAGTATTTGGGCTTTATAATGCCGGTTAGTTTGTGTCTCTATCTGGTTTGGATCGGGAGATATTTGATTTTGTCCATTTTTCCCCAAAACAGAACACAGTGCGACGTCCGCGGCTGTTTCTGAGTCGATTAGAGCAACAAATGCAATAGATACTGTTGTCGATGAACACCGCGTAGAAGAACCTATGATCTCTGCGGCTGCTTCTGAGACAACAGAGTCACCCGTACGGATAACAACTCAAGACGTACCCTCCACCATAGAGCTGGAGGAGCTAGCAGAGGGCCTGAACCTTCACAGTCCAGGCAGAGAACCGGAGGACGTAACGCTCTCAGAAGTTGATGAGCCAATGGTCCAGAGGAAAAAATGACCACGCCACAAATCAAAATTGCCTAGATCAACCTCCAACACGCGATAGCAGCATCTGCTGTTATTGCAAATAAATGCACAACGGAGGATCTGGGCATCGTACTTGTGCAATAGCCATGAATATACAAAGGTCAGGTGAGGGCCTGACGGAAAGATCGATTAAGATAATCTGGGATCTATCATACGATAACTCAAGAGCTTGTGTAATGCTAAAAAAAGGAAATTATCTATTTCGGCATTTCAGAGTATATGACTAGAGACCTGTTGGCAATCCAATGACGGATCTGTGCGGGAAATCCAGAGCGATAATAGTCGCATCAGTGTACTTTGCAGGCGATTCCGCCATACCACCGGAGGAAATCAAGATACTGGTAGAATACAGCCAAAAGAGGTGCCTCGCATTGGTCATTGGGTGCGATGCCAACGCGCACAGTGTGCAGTGGGGCAGCACTGACATTAACAGAAGAGGTGAGAGATTACTTTATGCTAAGTAATGACCTTAGCATCTTCAATGTGGGTAGCAAGCCTACGTTTGTAAATAGGGTAAGAGAAGAAGTTCTAGATATTACTCTCGGGAACAGCTGGGCTGATGATTTGATCTCGGACTGGAGAGTCTCTTCGGAGCCCTCGATGTCGGATCACAGAATCATACAGTTCTCCCTGGAAGCTTCTATGAACGCCCAGTAGGAAGACTGACTGGGTCAGTTATCATAACTTTTTACAAATCAACCTAAGCACCATAAAGAGAACAGAGAGAAGCGATGTTTGGAACAAGAGGCAAGGGTTTGCAGCTTAAACGAGGCAATAAGCAACGCTTATGTATCGAGCTGCCGACTTGCAGAGCCAAAGGGTTCAAAACGTAACACATGGTGCAACTCCAAACTCCCAGGTCGCCGGAAAGAGGTTAAAACGAACTGGGAACTGGGACGACTACTCGTCAGCGTCGTCGATCGCCGTATTGGATCCGCCATTTTGAATTTAAAAAAATTTACTTCAGATTCCTAATCGGCGACCCCAATAACTCTCGAGAGCCGGGTTTCGAACAAATCCAATCATTCTTTAAAAAAAATGGACCGCCATTTGGATCCACCATTTTGAATTTCGAAAAACTGACTTCAGATTCCTATTTAGCAACCCCAGAAACCCCCTGGTAAAAAATTCCAACCCATGACAATGCGTAAATCGTTCAGTATCAACGTTTTAATTTTACTAGTGTCTTGTCGAGAGCATATTTTCGGGAACTAGACCCATTCTAATTGTCCAAGACAGGTGTGTTATTAAGGGAAAGTTCCCCAATAATACCAGAGTAATTATATGTAAAAACCACATTTACAGCTGCATTTTAACATGTCAAGAAAATAAAAAAATTGAGAACATAAGCGTTTTTATAAAAAACCGACCAGCGCGACCTCTAAGAAAACTTTTTTTTCAAAATAAAAAATACGTGTCTCTTTTTTTTATCACAAATAACAATATTCTGATGTAGCGTTTATGAATTTCCAAAAAGAGTGTTTTTATGAACCACTCTAAAAAAGACTTACGTTATAAATAGTTTTGCACAGAAAACACATGGATAATGAAGGGTATAGGAATCTGCTTTATTGTGCAGAAGGCCGAAAATGCTCGAAGTAAACCAGATTTTTCCATTATTTAGCCTGGTGGATTCCGCGCCAAAAAAGCTTTTTGATATTTTGGACATTACCTTAAAATGACGCCGAATTTATTTTCATTAAGAAAGTTAATCAGTGATTATTTTTTCGAATACTTTTTTATTAACTTCAAAGTAATGCAAGGCAATCGAAGAGAAGCAAGTATAATGCAAAGAATGTTGGCCTTTGAATATAAACAACCCTTAATTTTATGTTGAGCTTTTTTTATTTTCATTCATTTGAAGGTGTCCCAGGATTAAGTGAATTTTAATATTTGGGGGAAGGAGATTCGTGTTAACATTTATACTGTCTGATACCCCAGAATATGTATGACCCAGATATGATCAAAAATCTGCCAAACCGAGAAAAAAATGTTCCCTCCCGGTTTCGTTTTCGGCGATTTGGGCCATATGCTTTTAATTTTATACACTTTATATATACGGCCCGTGATTTTTTAGTCCCGGGCCGAGTTTTCCCTCGACGGCCCTGCTTACTGGTCACTGTGTGATTGGTAATCATGCAGAAAGGCTGAACGTCATTGATAACCCACAGCGTTTTCTCCTACAAAATGCAAAGGTGTCGTCATTCTCCCTTAGCTTCCCCCTTTTTCCTCAACCCCCCTACTTAGTCGTGATCATGTGTGCCTCCACATACGGAGGCAGCCCGCTTACATAACCTTACCTGACCTACATTTAAGTTTGATTCTTCCAGTGGTGAGTGTGCCCCCCAAAGTATTTTCCCTTGGTGTACGATTGTCTAGCCTGTTTGCACTTTTAGAACACTGTTAAGGTTGTTGAGGCCTTGTGTTCCAAAAAAATAAAATCTTTAGGAAATCTTTCAATGTCTCTTTTAAAGGCAGGGGAAAATGGCCGTTGAAACTATTTCTTCTACCGAAAAGCACAACACATGTTTTGGTTTTGTTAGCGGAGAGCCCACTGTTAATGTTCCAAGTGTCAATAATGTTCAGTTATTTTTAATATTTTTATTGAGCTTTATACCACGATTATTTTATTAGGAAAAATGGAAAAAGCAACAAAGTCTAAGCGGTAAAAGTTATAGCATCACAATAACGTTGACAAATACATAGTTTAAGAAGAGCCTGCCTGAAACTATACAAGAAAATAAATGCATGTATAGAATTTACAACAACAGCCACGCTGTCAAGTTGAAATAGCGGCAAATCAGCTGCACTTGATAGCAGTAGGTTGAATAAGGAAAATTAATTAGCAGCACGAGTTTTCGGGGTGTGCATAGCTCAGTGGTTAACGCTTCTGACTTTGCACATCGATGACGCAGGTTCGATCCCTACTGGAGTCTAGAAAAAAGAAGTCTAATGAGGAGATGTGGTGATCTCCGAAATANGCACGAGTTTTCGGGGTGTGCATAGCTCAGTGGTTAACGCTTCTGACTTTGCACATCGATGACGCAGGTTCGATCCCTACTGGAGTCTAGAAAAAAGAAGTCTAATGAGGAGATGTGGTGATCTCCGAAATAGCTGCTATAACTTCTACCGCTTAGACTTTGTTGCTTTTTCCAATTTTCCTAATAAAATAATCGTGGTACAATCAATAAAAATATTAAAATTAAATGTTAATAAGCCACAATAACATTGACAAATAATATGCAGTTATATTTTCGCTTTCCCTGCAAACAATTGACAGAGAACGACCTTTTATGAGGGAGGGTACATCTTCTGCAGAGACCCGGTCATAGATATTAGAGCCGTTGAGTGTGAGCAGTAGGGAATCAATTACCAAGCACCAGATCGAGAGAGAAAGCACACCGCCTTGAGGACAGCGCCTGTGAACTCCGCAAGTGACAGTTTGACAGCCTTCTACCTGAATCTTAAGAGCCGGCATTGCCAAAAGCCCTGACACTTCCGTTTCTGGCTTACATTGCAAAAGTTGACAGTGATATTATTATTTTTGCATTTTTACTGCATACACTTGAAAAGTTGTAGGGAGTTTGAAGTTAAAACATTTGACTCGGACGAAAACTACATCTCTACCCGCACAGGAAGCTTCTATTGAACATGTTTTGTCAAGAAAACTAGAATCCGATAATTAAGTTTTGAAATGCATTATATCTCCAAAGCAAAAGTTATTTCAAGTATACTTCTCATAACCTTGTTGTTATTCTAATTCTAGGTCTGCAGAAAGAGTGATCCCGGAAGAAAATTCAGAGGACTTGATAAATTCAGATGGTAAGTATAAGCAGTAAAAGATGATGCCTTATCCTGAGTTTCGCGCGAAAAAAAAATCACCAGAAAATTTTTCATCCGCCCATAGTAAATACCTGGAAGCAAAAAGTGAAAAGTCAACCGGTTCGGGAAAAATTAAACTCATGATAAGGCTGATTATTTCACTCTAACAGGCTATCTAAATTTTAAAAGTTCACATAGGCATCGGTAATCCAAAAGATACGTACATTTCGATGGCTCCAGTTGTTAAACTTATGGATTCAACAGAGAACAATAAGACGAAACAAAAAAATCCTATTGATTTGGGTGATGCAGCAATTTTGCCTTCCGGGAATTTCAAAAATTGCATGTTGGCACAAAATTTGTCTACCCAAATGCATTCAATTAATATTTACTCAACAGTATCGACTGATTTGGAAAAGTAAGTATACATTTCTAACCATGACTAGAATTATACCATTCCAACATTAAAGGCGTAATTTTATGTTTCAAATTGTGTTTGTTCTAAATTTATTGTCCTGCGCCATGTTTTATTATTTTATTGCATTTGGAACCGTATTGTTGTATTTATTTACGAAACCCCAGATTTAATATAGAATATCCAACTAAATCACATCAAGATGAATTTTTAGAAAAAGTGTACGTGTAAGTGTAAAAGTAAAGGACGGGTATAAACCCAACGGGGCCAGAATTAGTTCTATTGGAGCGCTCCATATTCAGCAGTAAGCGCTCCCTTCCTAATTTCACACTTCATGGTATTGGTGAGCGCTTCAACTAACGCATTTAAAAAGCTATGCATGCAAATTCTAATTTTTATATTATGTTCTTGTTTTAATAATAGAATGGCGTTTTTGTGATTTTATTAAATGTTCTTATAAACATGTTTTTTTTTTCTTTTCTATGTGGTATACATACGAAAATACATACATACTTACATGTTTGTACATAAATTAATATATATGTATATAAATGGATCGTGGTTTGTTCGCATGCTTAAAACTTGAAAACGACTGGACCAAATAGGATACTTCCTTCTGCGGGTTTATTCGTAATCGCCGCCCGAAGGTTTAGGAAAAAATAGAGTTGCAACCTCTTTGAAAATTTCAGTGTAAGTATGTAAATGTATGTATATAAATAGATCGTGGTTTTTCGGATGTTTAAAACTTGAAAACGACTGGACCAAATTGGATACTTCCTTCTGAGGGTTTATTCGTAATTGCCACCCGAAGGTTTAGGAAGAAAATAGAGAGTTGCTACCTCTTTGAAAACCTCAGTGTAAGTAAGTTAATAAAATATAGCCAATATTACAATACGGGTGTCAGAAGAAAGAGGTTTGAGAGGACTTACTTTTCTAAATATTTTTGGGGAAGGTTGGCAGCTGTTTGAAAATTTTAATTTAATTTAATTGATAAGATAAATTAAATACTACATTATGGGTATTTAACTAAAGGGGTTTAAGAAAGCTTACAATTTATAATACTTTTGTGGATGTTTGCCACCTGTTTGAAAAATTGTATTCAACTAAATTGGAAAGATAAGCTAGATATTACAAAATGGAAATCAAACTATAGAGGGTTAAGAAGGTTTACTGTTGAAAATATTTTTGACGCGGGTTGCCACCCATTTAGAAAATGTAATTCAATCAAATTTATAAGATGAGATAAACTAAATATTGCAATATTTACCCAAACGAAATGTATTTGAAGAAATATTTTAGATGGGCTGTCACGTATCTAAACAGTAAAATCTAAAGTTATTGCAATTAAATGAAATATTACAACATTAGTACCAAACAAAAAGTCTTTTGGAAAGCTTCGTTTTTGAAAAGTTGTCAACTATCCAAGAGCCGAAGCTTAATGTTCGAAAGAATTTACAATATATAATCAAAGTAGTGCTCAAAAACACTTTGATCCAGAAATTTTTTAAACGTGTTGCCACTGAATTTTTGTATTAAAATTTATACTGAGGGTTTTTAGGAAGAGTTGAAATACCAATTATGAAATGTTCTCGAAACGAAAAATATTAAAAAAAAATCTACTCACAAAATATAAAATATTAAGATATCAGATGAAAATTGTTTAAAAAATTCTTGTTGAAAACTTAACATTGTTGTCACCAATTTTTAACGAACAATACATTTTTAACTCTTCTATATACTCATTTCTCAAAGGTATTTTAGTAAAGTGTGTTTAAAGAGCTAAAACCACTGTATCCGATTAATTCAGCTCCATATCTTCCATAATAATTCATGAACTGTAATGTGTGAAGCACCATTTCGAAGGACGCTTCACCGCTCTAGGTAAGAATCACGGTTACCAACCGTCTCGTTTTCGGCGGGCCTGTCCCGGATTTAGGAGCTATGTCCCGGTCCCGGTACAATACCTGCCGGGACGCCAAATTTACCGCTTTTGGGCAAGAAAATAATTTAGACATCTCGTTGTAAAAAATTTAGAACTCTTTAAATATTTA